AATTCTCTGTTCCTCCCTGGTGTCCTGTTTGCTACATACTGATTGCCTCAAACACACCATGCTCCTCAGGGCTCCCTACAGTGAACTCACTTTTTGCTTTGCTGTCATCCCTTTCCTCAGAGCTGAAACCAGCAGTCCCCCACTTGCCTTTTCACAACAGGCTCAAAATGTCATCTTTACCTTAAAGACTGTATTCACTGTACTGGCCACCCTAACTGGACCCTCCTCAGTTCTCTGGGAACACCATGTGCACATTTCACCTTTCTAGCATTTTCTACATGGTCCTAAGAGTCTTACGTTTTCATCGTCTTTGTCCCAAACCACAATATGAGACCTTAGCACCTAGAGCTTGGCACATGGTAGATAGAAATTGGTGCAGGCCATCATTAGTACTATTGTTAGTACTAATTAGTACTATTAGCACTATTGTTACTGCAATGTTTGTTAAAATGCATGAATGAATGGTTGAATGAAGCCTAGAAGGAAGTGCAAATGCTTGGGCAGTGAAGTCTTGATTAACTCTGGGAAAAGCAATGCTGTGAATAATTTAATTTTATGGTGAAAGAAAAGTCAAACAAGGATTATTTTGGGAAAAGTTGTCAGGAGGCACTAATGCTTGCTCTGACACAGCTCTAGTGCCCTTGGTGTACCTCTGGCTGATAAACTTAGAGTGTGATTTTGAAGGGGTTATTTCTCAGGGATTCTCACCTATTTCTATCATCCTCTTTCGTCTCTTTTGGTCTCTAGATAAACAAAGCTCCTTCCTGCTCAGAGTCCAGATAGCCTGTTCCTGAACGCTGTAGTTCCAAATGAAAGATGAGATGTTTGTCTTTGTATATATTTATTTTCATCCCTAGACCACTGGATTGAGGAGAAGCCTGGTTCATTACTGTAGGTTGGGTTTTCCAAAGCAAAGACTGAGACACATTTGGGGGTATAGGTGTGTATTAGGGATGGCCAGCTGTGAAAGGAAGGAAGAGAGAGAAGGACCGGGTAGAGAGAGAAGAGCTGAACCAAGGTGCATTCCTGCGACACCTTGATGAACCCAGCAGAGTGTCTGGAGTGAGTGGTGTTCCTCAGAGCCCTTCTGCCCCTGCTTTGCTAAGTCACCAGGTGCTGGCTGTCCTGGAAGGGGCATCACCTCGGGAAGGTGGCTCTCTGCAACCAAAGCAGGCGGTAGAGGAGCTGGCAGCTGTCTGCTGACTTTACTCCATCCTTAAGGGGGAGTCTGGGCCATGATATCTCAGTGTCTCTTCCTATATCCAAGCAACCACTGTGACCTGTTATTTCTTGCTCTCTGGAATGTCTCCTGTCTGCCTCTGTTTCTGCATTTCCATTACCATTACCTCAGTGAAGATTCTTTTTTCTCTCTCTTTCTTTGATTACTGAAATAGCTTCACAGCTGTTTTCCCTAACCCCAGTCTATCCTCTACTATAATATTGCCGGAGAGTGCTTTAAAAAAAAAGACGAAAGTCTAATCACCTTCCTCCCAGCTTAAAGCTCCTTCAGTGGTTTATAGTGGGCTTCATGATTAAGTTCAAACACTTTAATATGGATTACAGGGCCCTGCACTTACTGCCCCTATCTGCCTCCCCAGCCTCCTCTGTCCTTCAACACCCACCCCCTACCAGTTCACACCCCAGCTTATGTTCCAGTTTACCTAGCCCTTTTGATAGTTCCCATAGGGGCCCTTTCACCCTTTTTTCTTGTCCTTGCTCAAGATGCATCCTTTAGTGATGAAGCTTCCTGTCGTTCTACAAGCTATGATTAGACCCCAGCTCTCCTTCCTGCATGCCCAGGACTCTGTCTGCCTCACAGTGGTCTTCAGCCTCATATTCCAGGCCTAGAGGACATGGAATCAAATTAAGCTCCTTTACCAGCTAAGGTTTCTTCCTAAATTACTATAGAGAAAACCTGGAAGAGTGCCCTACCCTGCTAATCCTGTCTGGAACCTTTTTTATAAAAATGACACCTTTTATGTTTGTGAAAATTGGGGATGAAGCCCTATGAAAACCCTTTTTAAAAAATTTCACTTTAGTAGGCAAGATTTCAAACTGGTGCTCCTTTTTGTTTTTTTTTTTTGAAAACATACATAATGCTTGTTCTAAAAATACTTCTTTTGATCCCTTCATTCATTCAGAATGTATTTTTAAACATTTACTCCAAAAGGTAATGTAATGAATAAGAGAAGTTTGGGTGTCAGAGTAGAACCCATGGCCTGTCTTCAGCTCTTAAGCTGTTACAGGGAGTTTACTTTTCCCCTATAAACCACAATTTTCCCATCTGTCTATGAAATGGGGGTAGTGGGAGTACTACTGTACTCTTCACAGAGGGTTAATATGAAAATGAAATGAGAAAATACATGCTGTGTTCTTAGTGCAGTCCCTAGCATGGAAGTGCTCAGCAAATTGCAGTGCAGTCTCTCCTGTGTTAGATACTAGACATAGTGACATAATTAAGATACTGTCCAGAACTGTGTTATTCAAAACCAACGGCACTGCTCTTTTATATGTTTCTGCTACTTTAGCATTCAAAACAGACTAAGATTTTTCTGCTCTCTGCCCCATCCTTTGAGCATCTTATCCTCCAGACCATCATTGTCCAATAGAAATATAATATGAGCCACATATATAATTTTAAATTTTTCAATAGCCATGCTAAAGTAAAAAAAGTGACACTAATTTTTAACATCTCTTATTTAACTTAATATATATACACTTGATATACAAATTATTGAGATATTTTACATTCATTTTTCCAGATAAAATCTTTGACATCTGGTGTGTAATTTCCCCTTAGCACCTCTCAATTCAGACACTAGATTTTTGTTGGAAATATCTGATTTAGATTTCTTAAATTAATATAGAAAAAGTAGATTTTCATACCCAAGTTGTTCCAAACCTACGTAAAAGTTTTTCAGTAACTGAATTATCAGTTTTTAAATGGAAGTTAAAGCTAAATAAAATGAAGGATTTCGTCCCTGAGTTATTGTAGCCATACTTCAGGTGCTCAGTCCACATGTGACTAGTGGCTGCCATAATGGACAACACAGTTCTAGAAAACCTCACTGCAGAGGTTTCAGTCTTCCCCTTCCTAGCTAAATTTGTTTTCATATTGAATTATAGATAGAAGCTCTTTACTTAAAATGGGTTAAAAAATGGTGTCGGGAGGTTCTTTGGTTCCATTTAGAGGAGAGTGGTTAAGCTGTTCACCCTGTGACTCCTCTTCCAATCTCCAACCTCACCTCTACCCCAAGAGGTATTCCTGGAGCACCTCTGCCCTGCTATTGAGCTCCATGGAACAATTAACAAGTGGTATCTTAGCATGCAAAAATTGCTGATCATGCACTCAGAGTCCTGGAATCTTGGGGCTCAAAGGGATCTTATTATCCCTATGGGTCAACTCTTAGCCCCTCCCTGCAGTACAGAAATACTATAGAATTCCTTGGGGGATGAGAGAGTGCTCAGGCTCTGTTTAACACCTAGGAGCAGATGGATCATTTCATTTTATTCTGTCTTACATGGTTCTCTGTTTCTGTGTCCTTTTCTTGCCTTCCTAACTAGGTTGGAGACAAGGACTATTTTTTACAGCCCCACAGCATCTGCACGAAGCAAGACAATCAATAAATTCTTAACTGAAGGCCTGACTGATTACAAGAATTCAAGATCACTTGAAAATTCAGGGTCACAGCATTGCACAACTCCAAAGAACTTAATTCACATTGTATTATATGGTTGTGCAAGTGGCAGCTTTGGAACATTTGCAAAGGTTTAGACTGGACTTTCTTTTCCAGCTGAGAAAAACTTCTTTTGCGGGGGCGGGTTCAAAACTTTTTTTTATTGCATTTTAGGTGTTTTGGGGTACATGTAAAGAACATGCAAGATTGTTGCATAGGTACACACATGGCAGTATGATTTGCTGCTTTCCTCCCCTTCACCTATATCTGGCATTTCTCCCCATGCTCTCTCTCCCCAACTCCACACCCTCCGCTGTTCCTTCCCTATTTCCCCCCAACAGGCCCCAGTGTGTGGTGCTCCCCTCCCTGTATCCATGTGTTCTCATTGTTCAACACCTGCCTATGAGTGAGAATATTCGGTGTTTGATTTTCTGTTCTTGTGTCAGTTTGCTGAGACTGATTGTTTCCAGGTTTGTCCATGTCCCTACAGAGGACACAAACTCATCATTTTTGATGGCTGCATAATATTCCATAGTGTATATGTGCCACATTTTCCCTGTCCAGTCTATCATCGATGGGCATTTGGGTTGATTCCAGGTCTTTGCTATTGTAATCTGTGCTGCAATGAACATTCGTGTGCATGTGTCCTTATAGTAGAATTATTTATAATCCTTTGGATATATACCCAGTAATGGGATTGTTGGGTCAAATGGAATTTCTATTTCTAGGTCCTTGAGGGATTGCCACACTGTCTTCCACAATGGTTGAACTAATTTACACTCCCTCCAAGAAGTACAAGTTTTTTAACAAATTATTTGTTGGTACAAAATACACCTCGCCGCTTTCTCCTTATTTTCTGCCAGGAAGCAACTACAAGTATATGTTTTCTTGACTTAGGAATATGCATTCATTAGAGAGGGTGTAAGGGTGTGTGAGCATGTGTGTTTAAGTAGACTAGCAGATCTGCTGTGTTAGGAAGCCCATTGGAAAGGTTTGAGCATTTGAATCTTATATTTAAGAGGCTGCTGTGTTTATATTCCTTTTGAAATTTCCTACTTTTGGAATCTTTGTCTGGTTTGAATGATGCTTTAGAGCTCCCTATTTGTAAAGCACCCCAGAGCATGACCCATAGGTACCAAGCACATACACCAAAGTCACTGGATGAGCAGAGGGACTCTTGATGACTGCATGGTTTTTATCTTTGCAAAAGTGAGAAAGTGCAGAGGAGGGAGGAGTTAACAAAGTGTTTCTCTTACAAAAAGCCTATGAGTGCTTTTGTGTTTTTCAAACTGGTGGTGGTTGTTTTTTCTTATGTCTACCCAGGAAACCAAGTGCTACCTCCTGGAGCTTCTCTTGGAAATGGGCTCACACCAGAGGCAGCAAGAGACCTTGGCCTTCTCCCTGGGATTGCGGTCGCAGCCTCACTCATTGATGCCCATGCAGGAGGACTAGGTAATCTCTTATTCATTGCCTAGAGTCAAAACTGAATTCAAATGGAATATTCCCTAGAACCAAAGACACTCCTTTTCTGTTTTTAAAGCAAAGATCAGGGACTTTGGAGTTTCAGGATATAATAATGAAAATCCTTTATACAGCTAGGCATTTGGATAGAATTATAGAACTTTTCATTAATGATAGAATTTCTTTATAATTTTATTAATTTCTTTATGCATGGCAATAGGAAAAAATTATTTGAATAAATTTCTGTGTAGTTCTTTTGTTTACTGAAAATTAGAAAAACGTATGTTAATTTCCTGCCATACTTACCTGCACTATTTTTTTCTAATGGTACTCCAGAATCCTTATAAGTCTCATAGATTTATTTTAATAATACATTTGGCTTATGTTCTTTATCCAGTTCCTTGGTTGTAGTCTTGATTTTATCTTATACATTAAATCAAGCCTGTCATTTATGTATTCATTTGTTCATTTATGAAACACCTGTTGAACACTTACCATGTCCAGGCATAGTGCTGGGAGACAGTGAACTTAAAATAAAACCAAAGTCTCTTCCCCAGATTTTAGTGGGAAAACAAGACAGGGAAACAAATAATTACAGTAAAGATTGATGACTGTTGTCTTCTTCATCCTTATTGAAGCTTTTGTGTGTTTTTTGCAGGGGAAGTTGTTCTAGCTCTCAGTGTCTCTCACTTCAACTATAGCCATATTTTTTTTTCCTAACCTTTCATTCTAACAATTTAACAGGACATGACCACTGAATATGCACAATTGAATGGAACAGAATTGAATAGAACAAAGTGGAAAACATCAGAGTACATTTTACATAGTAACAGAAGGCACTGCTTTGTGGAGCTGTGTTTCCATTTTATGCACATACACTTTCAGACACTTGCATTGACCCTGCCCCTACTCTACCCATGCATTTACACTTCTGTGACTTGGCACACATGTTCTCTGCCCAGAGTGATTGGTCCTCCACTTCTCCAGCTGGCTAACTCCTCCTCTAAATACAAGACCTATATCAGATGCTTTCTGCTCTGCATAGCCTTCCATGAAACACTCAGGTGTGTTTAGATTCTCTAAATTATGCTTCTTTCAGCAAACTATTTGAAGAAATGATCATATTGTGTTGTAATTTCTAATATATCTGCTTATCATTTCCACTAGACTGTGAACTCCTTAAGAACAGGAACATTATGTTATTCATCCTGTATCCTTCATGCCAAACCCTTTATCTGGTTCCTATAGGGGCTTTTAAGTTTATTAAATGAACAGTCACATTAAGGCAAGAATAAGTTGAGATGGCTTTAAACAGTAGAGTTTTCTTATGCAACAGATTATTAAATGGTTCCTTGTTCTACATACTACATGGACTTCCAGAGCAGGATAGCCCTCATCAGTCTATGAACATGACTGTTCTGTTCCTCTCTATGTCCTCAGGATCTAAAATAGTGCCTAAGAATTAGTAAACAACTTATAATATATATAGGTTGGTTGAATGGTATGTAATATATTTCTGATTACAGGCAAGGCTCTGTCTAAATACTTTTCATTGTGAGCAATATGTGCTTTTGATGGGAATGTTAAGATTTTGATTTTTACATACAAGCATAGAGAGAACTTGAGGATGGAATGTTTCTGTCCCCTAGGAATCCTGACATTCCAGATCATTCGTGAGGCCATTACAGTTTTTCCTATCATGCTTTTAAAATTATCCCTGGGGTGACCATATCAATCATCCACCCTTACCTGGGTGACAAGCACTTGGCTGGGTCCAGCATACGCTGAAAGAGGACTACTGTTGAAGAGCCACAGGCACTACAGTTTCCTTGTCAGTTTCTCAGACTTCCCTCAGGGACATGCCAAAACATACCTTCTCACTTCTGCCCAGGACTCACTATGCCCTCCAGGAGTGGAGACTGCCAGATGACCCTCATCTTTTTCCTAAACAGAGATGCTCAGTGGCAGAAGTTTTACCCTTAGAAGCTGTGGCTTAAACCTTTTGCTCCCTGTAAAATGCAAATGCTTGTAAGTGATAGGGTTTGGCTGTGTCCCCATTCAAATATCAACTGACTTGTAAATCCCAGAATTCTCACGTGTTATGGGAGGGACCCAGGGGGAGGTAACTGAATCGTGGGGGTCGGTCATTCCCATGCTGTTCTCATGATAGTGAATAAGTCTCACGAGATCTGATGGGCTTATCAGCGGTTTCCACTTTTGCTTCTTCCTCGTCTGTCTTGCTGCCACCATGTAAAAAGTGCCTTTTGCCCTTTGCCATGATTATGAGACCTCCCAGCCATGAGGAACTATAAGTCAAATTAAACCTCCTTTTCTTCCCAGTCTCAGGTATGTCTGTATCAGCATCATAAAAACAGACTAATACAGTAAATTGGTACCAGTAGACTGGGGCATTGCTGAAAAGATATTTGAAAATGTAGAAGCAACTTTGGACTATGTAACAGGCTCATAGGTGGAAGGGACTTGCCTTGTCTCGGGTGAGACTTGGACTGTGGACTTTTCAATTTTTAATTTTCAATCCAGAATTATCTGGATTGAGTTAAGACTTTGGAGGACTGTTGGGAAAGCAGCTGGGAGGGTGACTGTACCCTGCAAAGCCACAGGGGCAGAGCTGTCCAAGACCATGAGAACCTGCCTCTTGCATCAGTGTGACCTGGATATGAGACATGAAGTCAAAGGGGATCACTTTGGAGCTTTAAAATTTGACTGTCTCGCTGGATTTCAGACTTGCATGGGCCCTGCAACCCCTTTGTTTTGGCCAATTTCTCCCTTTTGGAATAGTTGTATTTACCTAATACCTGTACTCCATTGTAACTAGGAAGTAACTTGCTTGTTTCTAATTTTTTTTTTCCCCCCTGAGACAAAGTCTCCTACTGTTGCCTGGGCTGGAGCACAGTGGAGTGAACTCAGCTCACTGCAACTTTCACCTCCCTGGTTCAGGCCATTCTCCTTACCTCAGCTTCCCAAGTAGCTGGGATTACAGGCCTCTGCCACCACACCTGGCTAATTTTTTTTGCATTTTTAGTAGAGACAGGGTCTTACCATGTTGGCCAGGCTGGTCTTGCGCTCTTGACCCTGTGATCTTGAATTCCACCTCCCAAAGGGCTGGGATTACAGGTATGAGCCACCACGCCCGGCCTTGTTTTTGATTTTACAGGCTCATAGGTGGAAGGGACTTGCCTTGTCTCAGATGAGACTTTGGACTATGGACTTCTAGGTTAATTCTGAAATGAGTAAGACTTGGGGGCTGTTGGGAAGGCATGATTGATTTTGAAATGTGAGGACATGAGATTTGGAGGTGGCAAAGGCAAAATGATATGATTTGGCTGTGTCCCCATTCAAATCTCAACTGAATTGTAATCTCCCAGAATTCCCACATGTTGTGGTAGGGACCTAGGGGGAGGTAATTGAATCATGGGGGCTGGTCTTTCCCATGATGTTCTCATGATACTAAGTCTCATGAGATTTGATGAGTTTATCATGGATTTCCACTTTTGTTTCTTCCTCATTCTCTCCTGTTCCCACCATGTAAGACCTGCCTTTTGCCCTCCATCATGATTATGAGACCTCTCAGCTATGTGGAACTGTTAGTCAAATTAAACCTTCTTGTCTTCTCCAGTCTCGGTATGTCTTTATTACCAACATAAAAATGGACTAAAACAGTAAGTTAATAAGTTTTCCCCATATTTTTTTTAATGAAAAGATAGAATAGTTTTTTTTTTAATGGAAAGATAAAATAAGAACTTTGGATTCTTTAAGGCCTGAACTTAGATGCCAGCAGTGGCTAGGAAGGGCACAGGAAGGTGATACTCCACGATGATGGGATAGTACAGACTTAACCTAATAAACGTTGACCATGTTTTATCCTTATTATGCCTTCTTATGCTTCTTCATTTACTCTTCACCTTACAGCCAGTCTGAGATTAGGTTATCTTAAAAAGGAGAGGAGGCCTGGAGACAACTGTTTCCTCTCATTTCTCCCCTTACTATAACCTGATTAGGATGTAGAGGAGAAAAGAGGCCTGAAAATCTTGAAAAGGTTTCCATGGGTCCAACTATATATTAACTAAAGACATATTGAGTGAGTATAACCTGTCAGTTATTGATCTAGACACTGGGAATTATCAGCAGTGAACAAATCAGGCAAAGTCCACTCATTTTGGAGAGAAAATTTTCATTGTTCTCCCCTGCCTGATGTTTGTAGTTTAACAGATTAGATTTGGGACAGCTAATCCCTGAAACATTTTGTGATGCTATGATAAGGGCATTCAACATGGAATCTGAAGTTCTGGGTTTAAATTGTGTTTCTGCCTACAAATATAGTGCTTCTCAGAACTTTTGTTTCCTCTTACGCAGTGAGAGATAGTTAGAGACAACAGAATGCAGGAGGCACTACTTTGTGATTCTGCATAGGTTGAGGTCAGAAATGGCCTCAAGAACTGGCTAAATGAACTCTGTACTAAGAGATTTCTGAATGTCAAGTACAGACCCAACTTTGGATTCGTAATTGTATGCTATGCTGGCCTCTCACCAACAAACCCTGACAACTGTAGTCACTTCAAATGCCGACCTGGCATGGCCTGCTTTAGACCCACATTCTGATTAGTATGAGGGGTCAGCACTCTGCTTTGGAGACATACCCCTGGACTTTCACTCCCATGGGAGGCCTGGGAAGGGAGAATAAAGATCAAAGAAGCAAGCAAAACTGAACCCATGGATTTTCCAGTTCTGGAAAAAGAGGAGGAAGGACTTTGTAGGAATTAAAATTGATGATAAAAGAACATTTTGTTCTTAAGGTACTGGTTAATAAGTTCTCCAGCAGACAGCCAGAAGATAGGAGTAGCTTTGTTTGCACTTTGTGGGGGTGGTTCTGGCCAGGACTCCTGCTGCTGATATTTTTCTAGCTTATAAAAATAACGTTAACTTTGTTCCAGGTCTCTTCTTGGCTCCAGCACCCCAACTGTCCTGAAAGG